CACACACACACACACACACACACACACACACACACACACACACACACACCTGTCCAGGAGAGTCAGATTCTCCCCTAATGGCACCACGGGGACCCTATACATTAGCATATTAAAAGGTGACATTTCACAGTCTGTGAGTCTTGCAGTAGAGTGCAGTCCGTCTGACAGTCTGACAGCCACACAGGCAGGCCGGAGAACAGATACAGAAGACTGTGGAGTGCAACACAATGGGAAGATGGGAAAGTCGCTGGATTTCAGAAAACACCTGTCCAGGCCACTGCAGGAGACCAAAGTTATGTTTAGTGAGTCCCGAAACTAGAGGGAACTTTACAAGTGACCTCACCAACAGTGTGGTCTAATGGGTCGTGCCTCATAACTAATTACACGTTGGTGAAAAAAGGATATTGAAACAGAGGTTTAGAATTATAATTAAGGCCTCAAGTTGCTTTTTACAGAGGCCGACGATCAAATCAATACACACACCGTCCATAACACACAGAAATGATGACACAAAAAACGTAGAATGTCAACTAGACTTCCAAACTACTGACTTTTGTCCGTGTTATATGGGGGATGACAAACACACACACCATTTCCATACAAGCATTGCTCATCACACACTCATGTATATGAAATGTTGGTGACTGATTATGATTGTTTGCATCCATTCTCAAACTTAAGACAAAACATTCAAAGAGTATCTTTCAGAGGAACTCAGTTGCTCCTGGCTTCCACATGATTCAATCCCTACTGGCGCGCGCGCGCACACACACACACACACACACACACACACACACACACACACACACACCAGGGGCCAGCAGTTGAGAGAAGAGTGACAATGGCTGACTTCAGTAATTGGCTCTAAAATGCAGCTTCAGCAAAAGCCTTGTCAGTGTTTGGCATCTGTTACTATCATTTTCCTCTGCAGGACAGCACGATGTGAAACACCTGGGTTGGGACATTATCCCGCTGCCATCCTCTCTGCTGTCACATGTTACAATGGTTCCAGCAACTACTGCTACAACTAATAATACTTCTGTAAGTGCCGAGGCAACCAAAATGACCAGTCTTTCCCTCATGAAAATATTAGACTGCATGTTGAGCCAAATAGACCGAGATAAAAAGAGAGCGACTTCGGGAGCAAGATAGCAATGAGTGAGCAAAAGTCACGGAGGCACTGACACAGCTAGAAACTGATTAATACCCGACTGTTTATCAAACAGCAATATTCGAGCGCAGAGAGCTTTTCATCGAAAGTCTAATGATGCTGCCGCAGAAGCGATGCAAAGCGGAAGGATTTTCCATTTGTAGATAACCTGTAGTGTGAGAAAAAAAAAAACATCCGCTTCCTGCTTTCCAGCTCATAAGCAAACAATTAGAGTAGGCGCTCCTCTCTGCGTGTGTCCTATGAAAGAATAATTTTCAGGTTGTAGCATCTTGTTGTCCTCCATCTTCCAGCTCTCTTTGCTTTCTTTACAACTATTCCATCAACACGAGGGCCAATTTTGTAGCACGCCAATTGTGCGTGGGCAATGAATAGAGCTGCCCAGCAGGAGCCCTGGTACATAATAAGAAAAAAAAAAATCCCCACTGAATCCTGAAACAAGGTTGTGTGGGAACAGCAACGTTATAAATATGAATGTTTCACCCAGACGATTTTGAAGCATTTTGGAGTGAGGTTAAAGCAATTATAGTTGCAGAAACCTGCTTTATTGTTTTGTTACCCCAAGTTTTCTTGGAGGCACCGACTCCTGGCAGGGGAGCTAAACAGCTGACTGCTTCAGTTCAACATTTGAGAAGGATGAAACGCTAGTGATTCCACTCTCCATGAGGCTGATTATGATATGAATCACTCATATTCAAACATTTTTGCAAGATCAGCCACTGATTTATGGAAGAGTTTCAAACCCACACGAGCAGTCCAAACATTTCGGTTTTTGAAATGCTAGCAGGCAGTCAGCCCAGATTGTATGTGTCAAAGAAGTGGCTCTTTAAGGGACATCACTATTCAGTTAGAGTCCAACCCTTAGTCTTGCTTCAGTCAGCCTGGCTTCTGCATGTTAGGATTTTGGGGCCAGAGAGAGGCATGGTGTTCATCAAAGATCTCCAGCCAGACTCAAACACAGACAATGTGGTTGTTGAAAATTAGACAAACAACACATTTCTCACCTATAGACAAACTAACAGGTCAACTAACTACACAATACATTACTCTTTTCACTAGTACATGCTTTATTCACATACATATAGATTACATGGAAACATTTAAGTGAAAAAAAACACCCAGAACTATTTAAAACACCTCAATTGTAAACCTGAAAGCCACTGGAAGAACTGAAAGCTGTAAACTTACCTTCATTAGTACCGACTCACTGAGTTTCTCACGGTTGACAATCTTTATGGCGACTTTCTGGCATGTTACACAGTGGATCCCCAGCTTGACCAACCCTGCAAAAACAAACAGGAAACACTCACTTTATTAGGTCAAATAGGTAAAATACTTCTTAGATGTCCACACTGCATGATGTGTTCCTAGTTATGACAGGACATGTAAAATACACTTGAATTAAAGCGATGTGTGAAGTTGTTGTTTTTTTGGCTTACCACTAATGTGCATTGACCGGACTGATATAATGGAAATGCACAGAATGCTGATAATGACTTTTGAAGTGTAGACTATTCCTTTCAGAAACTGCCCTCTGGGGTTTATTCAAGTCATAAAGGCAGTAAGGGAATGGGCCATTACTGTTATTGATTCCTGTAATGCACTAAACTGCTGTGAAGCAGTTGAGTTAGCTCAAACAGACAATAAAAAAACAAACAGAGTCAAAGGTCAGTTGTGGAATGGGACTCATTGACCGGGCTCAAAACGGACAAAAATGAAGCAACAACGCAAAAAAAGTCGGAGAGCAAATCAGGATTTCATATTTCAACGACACAGAAGAAAGCGTTACCCTTGACTTCACAACACATCGATGGATGGGGTGAGATTTGAGTGTGTTTGATATGCTGTATCTCTTGGAATTCATACAGAAACTTTTAGCAATGGCATTAGTGTCCAATTCAAAAACCTCGGCATTATAAATAAGACAAAAGAAACAAAATGTTTTATGTATTTGATACAGGGGAGCCATGACAACAGCACCAATCCATTTTCTGCCAGGGACAACAGAGTTGCACACACACATTAGAAAGATGTTTGCATCAGACAAACTGAAACAAACACACACACACCCATACACAAACAAATGTCGGCTCTCTATTATTGATTTCCCCAACGGCTCCGTGATGCTGCGGGGATTTGGAGACGACGAAAGAAGAGTTTTAACTACAGCATTTGAGTTCTCTAATGGTAATGGGATAATCGGAAGGCTTTGATATCTTGCTGCTCCCACCATGAAGATGGTGGGATTAAGTTAATAAGTACTACTCCTCATGTGCCAATGACAGAAATGATGCAGTTACTGAAAGTAGCATGTTGATGCAGAAAAGCAACGTCCTGCATCAAACTGGCTGGCTGACATGAACCAGACTTCCAGCTCGCTCTCTCCCTGTCTATTAGGCAGTTTGATTTCTATATGAATCAGCAGAAGAGGAGAGTCAATGGGCTTTGAGGAGGCGGGCTAACATAGGAATGCAGAAACAAGTCTTCCGACACCACAGAAACGACAGAGGAGGAGGGGAAGCAGCAGAGGGGGATAGAGAAGGGACATGAAGAAGTAAATAGAAAAGAGCATGTGAAAGATGAAGGGGAAAAAGTGCAAAGATTCAGAATCAGCGATAGCACATTATTGAAATGACAGGCCAGAGATAATTAAGCAATAATGGAGAGCATCGCGTGGGAGTGAGGTTCTGGCTTTGGAGACGAGGGGCCGCGGGGGCCGTGAGTGGAGACACATGTAGGAGAGGAGGCGTGAGAGAGAGAGAATGACGGAGAGCAGGACAGAGAGATAGGAAGGAAGCAAATACTAAAAAGATGATAAAAGATGTAGAAAGATTTAGAAAAGGGGATGAAGCAGTTGAGCAGGACGGGGAACAACAGACAAACCCATTAGCACTGTGATGGTAATCATATGTTAATGGACACTATAGTGAAGCTCATAAGTCATGATAAACGCATTAAAAGAGAAAATATCTGCCTGCAAATACATGAAAAGTTAACTGGATTACTTGCCTCTCTATCCATCTTTCTCCAATGCCTGTGTTTTCGTTAGCTGAGGGTGCATTAGCAAGAGGGAGATGTGCACGGGAAGACAGCACATTACGATTTTACAACCACTTTGTGTACGGATTGTAATGAACTCGCACAAGGAAGTTCAGTACATAATACAAAGGGACATAAGACGTACGCCTCTTTCATACCTCGAATAAGAATCACGACTCAAAACAACAACAGAACTAATTGTCATGGCAAAACACATTCCATTTACAAGCTTAAATTATAAAATGTGACATGTTTACCAGTCACTGGTGGTGAAACAAAAGCAAGCAAATGTTGTGTGCAACAATATTCTTCACCAACCTCAGACCCACTTGAGGAATATCAGACCAGAGGAGTGTTGATATCCTGTAACACGTCCTCAAAATTGAAAAACCTGCCAACAGAGGCTACTCTGTGCAACTCTTAAGTAATAAGCCTGAGTAAAAAAAAAAGACTCATAAAATCACTCAGAATATACCTTTTGAGCAACAAATTGCAACAAGATTGAGAGACTACAGTTATGGCAGCTCTGTGAGTCTGTGCTTTTAGGCACATATCTGCTTTGGGTGTGCTAAATGCTAACGTCAGCATGCTAACATGCTTACAATGGCAATGCTAAGCTGCATTACAAAGTTTTTAGTTATAATCCAAAGTATTGGACAATTGGACATTTTCACCAGATGATGGTGCTCAAATCAAAAGATGACCAAAGTTATTGAAAAAAGTACTGAGGAGATCATGAAGTTCTCCACCAAAAGTTCATTGCAATCCAAGCATTCGTTTTTGAGACGCTCCACTTAAGGCCCAAAATGTCAATCTGATGATGGTGCTAAAGGTGAATCACCAAAGACAGGAGGATTCATCATTTGGAAGCCATGGATATCTGCACCACATTTCATGGCAATCCATCCAATTATTGTTGATATATTTCAGTCTGGTCCAAATTGTCGGACCGACTGACAAATCCATCCCTAGAGTCAGTAGGCAATTTGAGCGGGGATGAGGGGGGCTGCCTTAGTAGCCTAGCAGAAATAGTACAGGGACAGAAGGATTGTTTAGTCGAATATGTTGGTCTAGGCTGCCTGACTCATTGATCCTTTATCTCACTGAGGTTTGTGGAAGTTAAGTTTTATGATCCCGACCATGACTCTGAAATACCAGTAGCCTAACTGTGCAGTGTATTGATAAATCCATGGCGCTGTCCGTGGTGCTGAAGTAGCAGACAGATTTGTAATTACGACTTTGCGCTTCTGTCGGTCTATAATGTAACATTCTCTAAACTATATAGCAGTGTATTAAAAAACGCAGAACAAAAACAGCTGTTTGTGGGGCGGTTCGCTAGTCGCGGGTCAACTAAACGGACCTGCGTCAATCCCCTCTGTTGAAACGTTAAGAAACTCACTCCTGCCTTTTTAGAAATTGTTGTATTTCACATCAAAATCATGCATTTACATTTCCACAAATAGTACCGATGAAATGCTAGAGCATGTCATTGTGTGTGGGTGTTTCAAGCATTCACACACAGTAGATTGCCAACACACAGTACTTGTACATAATTTCATAAAAGTGTGTCGAGACAGAGTCATATTTATCAAACCAGTAATAGAATAAAAGTATAAATAAAAAAACAAATTAAAAAAAAAAATTGACAAAGTCAATGAATAAATAAAAACATCTTTGGGCTGTTTGGCTTTTGGTTAGCTCAACAAAATATTATTTTGTTTGAAGCACAGCACAGAGATAGGAGGTTGAGATCTTGGCCGTTAAGCTGCAGTTGCCCAGAAACCCACTCTCTGCCTCACTGCACAAAGACTTACGATATCTTCACAACACCATCACAGCATTTTAATGATTTTCAAACAACCACCAGCACCTCTAAAATAAACCCCCATATGATCTCCTCATGATTTATACTTCTCAATGATTCCCTGCTAATGTCCAACCCCAACAACAGGAAATACATGCAATTAAGGACAAACAATCCTGTCACAACAATTTCCCTGTGACTTGTCTGAAGTATGTTGTGTTATCTAATTAATCTCCTCCTCCCCATGACCAAAAATCAACCCTGCCTTCCCTTCTCTCTAATGTCCTGTAATGACAGCGATTGCCTGATACTCCCTGTGCCCCTTTCACCTGTCTGTGACGAAACTCCAGAGGAAACTCTCTCAGTTCTGGGTGAACACGCTGAGCTGAACCTGGTTTGGCAGGGCTGGGGGGAGGGGTGTCCAGGAGGTGCCCTGGAAGACACCGGGGTTTTGTCTGGATCTGGTTGGGCTGAGCAGGTAGACTGCCTTTGAACATAGCTTCAAAAGTAAGGCTTTGACTGACAGCACAAAGGTTCAGAGTGTGTACAGATAGTCTCTTTGTAAATGTAAAGCTGATCTGTAGGACAGCACATGAGTGTCACATGTAATCTATTAACTGGACCAGGGAGACACAGGCGGACCGGCATTGTCACACACTGTTCACTTATATACTTTTCATTAACTCACATATGGACAAAAGCAGGCTGTGCAGCCAAGTTTGCAACACCACTGAATCAGCAATTCAATCGATCTCTCCTCTCCTTCGCCATCCTCCCGAATCAATAGCATCAAAACCTCTCGCCTTCACAACAGTGTCAGAATAATGACACCAGCCAGGGACTTATGGGCTGGAGAGGCCACCATCGACTGACCCAAGGCCTCCATCCCGACTCTGCACTCTTTACTTTCCAAGCTGCTCTGTGATTAATGTGGAGGGACCGCTAGAGGAGGTCGAGGTTCAATCATTTCCCCGCTGGCTTTGACAAATTTGGGATGGATAGTAAAACTTGCAAATAAAACTTTTGATTGTGTCCGCAGAGACGGCCATTTAGGAGATGTTTAGCAACTCATCATTAATGAAAACTGTTAATTAACAAAATCTGTACAAGTTTGTGAAAATGTGGCAAATCAACTCTTTTTCCCGAAGCTAAAAGAACATTCTGGCTGTTCCCCTGCTGCTCTGCATCATTGAGCCATGTGCTAGCACTGATTTGGTGATTTGGAGCTTTTTGTCTCACTTCACTGTCTCTGCATAAGGGATTTTGTTTTATGATAACACAACTGAACTTGCTGACATCTGTCGCGAGAACATCTTTACTAGGTGTCAGCGTATATTAATTACGGGAACTGATGTATCCGAACTATATGAATAAAGCAACTTTATGCCAAAGATTTTAAAGACAAGTGCTTTTGGGAGTTGGGATTAAACAAATATTTTC